ACTATTAATGCGAATAAATGTAAGGTAAAACGGTGTTCAAACTTATGTTGCTAGCTTTTAACACTGAATAAAGCCCATCATCAGTACCTGAGGTGATCATTTTCACAGCAGTTTATGGTGTTGTTTTCCTGCGACGTTGCAGAAATAGAAACTGTTCCTAAAGTAGAAACTTTGTGTGTTGCTGTTGCAGATCTTTTTTTATGTAAAATGAATAGCTTTTATGACATTTTGCGTCAGGTAGACATTGACAAAAGTGTCTAAATGGCGTTTTATTTGATTGTTTCAACCAACATCAATGCTATCGGCAGCGAAAACTTCTCTCTTTGTTCATCTCCCAGTTGCATTTCTTCAAGTAAACTTCATTATAAATCTGAGTGTAAATGCCACTTTGCTTGTGGATTAGAGATGAAACAGTGACGGCTTCCTCTGATCGGACAGTAATGCGGGGGTCTGTGATGAGAGGGTTTTCTGTCTTTGTTTTGGTGGCTGAGGAGGATTTCGCGAATGTGAATTGAGGGCAGATGGATTTGGGGCCGGATGTGTTGGAACTGTCACCAGGGGTCAGAGCCTTTCTGCGGAGGACGTTTATCCGAAATGAAGAGGAGAACAGCAGAACTGGGCTTTGATGTTTGACTTCTGTGAGAACGTTTGAGATGATCTGACTGTGTAGGTGGGCTGAGTTTTTCTGGAAGGGAATGAAACGTTTCTGAGAGAGACATGATACTAAGTAGGGAGGAGCTGGATTTTATGTATCAGAAATTGATTGGATGGTTTAAATAAAGGGCAGGTGGTTGGAAGGGAGGGGCTTGATGACATCATCTAGGAGATTTTTGTTTATAAAAAGGTTTCTACAATGCATTATTCCTGAATGTAGGATCCATTTTCTTTTGTTCTATTACACTATTCAACATTTTTTGCCGTTTTTTTAGTTTCTTTTTATTTTTGTTTCTTAAAAAAGTTTCTAACAATGGATTATTTCTAAATGTAGTATTAGTTTTTATTTTATTCTATTATATTTTTTTACATTTACATTTTATTTAAAATTTTATGTAATTTTTATGTTTGATAAGATTTTTAAATTTTAAAAATTTTTAAAAGTTTTTTTTAATTTTAATTTAATTTTTTTATATTTAATTTTATCTTCTATATTTGATTATATTTTTATTTTACTCAACATTTTATTTTTTATTTTAAATTCATTTTTTTATTTAATTACATTTCTTTATAATTGATTATATATTTTTATTTTATTTAATATTTATTTTATTTTAATTGTATTTAATTTTTATGTTTGATTAGATTTTTTAATTTTTAAATTATTTTATTTAAAAGTTTATTTTATTTGATTTTAATTTTGTTTTTATGTTTAATTTTATTTTTTATATTTGATTAGATTTTTTTGTTTTATTTAACATTTTATTTTATTTTTATTTTGTTTTATATTAAATTTTTTTATATTTTATAAATTTTTTATTTTACATTTTATTTTATTTTTATTTTATTTTAATATTTATTTTATTTTTTATATTTGATTCGATTTTTTATTTTATTAACATTTCAATTTATTCTTATTTTATTTTTAAATTTAATTTAATTTTTTAACTATTGCATCTTTGCTGTTTTTAGTTTATTTTGATTTGTTTTTGATTTATTAAAAAAAAAATCTAGCGATGCATTATTCCTGAATGTAGTACCCATTTTTATTTTATTTATATATTATAATATTATACATTATATTTTTGTTATTTTATACAATTTTATGACACTATCTATCTAACTATTGCAGTTTTGCTAGTTTTGGTAATCGGTAGATTTTCTTGTATCCTTAATATTTTAGCATTTTGACCGACAATAATATTTATATATTGCTCATAATCACTTTACATTGCTCAAAGTCACGTTCATTAGGTTGGTGTTTCTATGATTAGTTTGAATTAAAAATGAAACCTTTTACGTTGCAAGGATGCATTTATTTGGTCAGAACTGTTATTAATATTGTATAATATAGGACAACAATTATTTAAATTAAAATGCTGTTATTTTTAACAAAGCAAACATTTTTGAGAATAATGTCAGTGAAGGAATGTAGGATGATTCTAACATGAGCGAGCACAATTGAATAATCTTTTGGTAAATAGACTTCTCCATTTTAACAGAAAACCTTAAGTTGTGATTACCACAGTGCATCTTATTGTTTGGGATAATTATTTGGAAGTCATTAATTGACCTAATATGTATTGTGTCCACATTTAAAAAATATTCTTACAGTGTAATATTCTTTTCCTCACACATTTTACTTCATTCAAATTAAATTAGCAAGTTTTCCGTCTGCAATCATCACAGAAACAATGTGAAACGCTTGTGCTGGCCTGCAAAAAAACTCTCCTTTCTACAAAGTTGCAGCTTGTTTTTCTGACCTCCGCTGACACTTTTCATTAGTCCTCATAAACGCATCACATTGAGCTGGGTGACATCTGACAGCGGGCCACAAAGCCACGCGTGTCATAAAGCAATCTGCGATGTGTCGCAATAATAGCTACATTAGATATTAACCCCCATGAAGTTTCATTATACACACTTAAAGGGTTATTATGCAATGTTAATTACAGTGTCAAAATCGTATCAGCTCTCGACTTAATGAAGCACTTTCGCAACCTTTCATTTAAGCGAAGAGCAGCTTTTCGGTTTTTATCTGCGGTCTCTGCTATTTTCTGCTCTGGAGGCATGGAGTATTAATGTCGGCCGGGTTCAGCGGAGTAGATTAACCTCTACTAGAGTTTGGGAGTGTGTGTGTGGAGACAGGATGGCTGGAAATGCTTCATCATTAAAGCAGATCTCTTGACCCTGCATTGTGAAATGCGGGATGTCCTGTAGAGATTGTCTGTCAGGCCGCATTATATACACTCAAAACGTATCAAAACGTTACTAATCACTTTTTACAGTGTAGTTAGTGAACATGACTATGTGAATTGAATCGTTCAGTCAAAATATTTTGTCAAAACACAGATTTATACTGTAACTAAACAAGAGAATGACTTTGAGTTGAAAGTTTATTGCTTATTTATCAAACTATTTGTTTATTAAAATTAATTGCTTTAGTGAATCAAATGTTTTATTAGTGAGTCGTTCAGTCAAGTGATTCATTAAGTCATTTAATTAATTGATTTGTCTAAAATATTTGTGGTTTTATTAGTGTTTGAATTATTTACTTTAACTAGTTTGTTTAAAAATATAAATTTAAGACATTGTTTATATTGTCTTTAAGTGTAAGAATGTTTTCAACAGATTACAGAATCGGTCAGTCAGTCAGTTGGTCAGTCAAACACTGAATAAATGAATACATTAATCACTCAATGAATCTATCAATGAATGAATCAATTAAGCATTCAATCAAGCAATTTGTTGAAATTACTCGTTTTATGAGTGAGTCACTGAATCTTTTAGTCCAATATAAAACACTGAAACATACAATAGGAAAACATTTATTAAATGTTTTTTTAGTCAACTGATTCATTGAAAACATTGATTCACTCAGTAATAAAACTATTTACTGTTTTTTGTGAATGAATTATAGAATCGTTTAATGAGCCAGTTTGATCAAAACACTCATACGTTCATGAAAAAAACAACTGACTCTTTTCAAGTGAGTCCTTGAATTTTTAAAGTAACCGATTTGTTCCAAAAACACTGATTCATTCATGAATAAAACAACTGATTCTTTTGAAGTGAGTCTTTAAATATTTCTAGCAACCGATTTGTTCCAAAAACACTGATTCATTCATGAACAAAACAACTGATTCTTTTAAAGTCAGTCCTTGAATCTTTAAACCAACTGATAAAAAAATGATTCATTCATAAACAAAACAACTGACTCATTTAAAGTGAGTCCTTGAATTTTTCAAGCAACTGATTTGTTCCAAAAACACTGATTCATTCACAAATAAAACAACAGACTGTTTTAAAGTGAGTCCTTGAATTTTTCAAGCAACTGATTTGTTCCAAAAACACTGATTCATTCACAAATAAAACAACAGACTGTTTTAAAGTGAGTCCTTGAATTTTTCAAGCAACTGATTTGTTCCAAAAACACTGATTCATAATGGAATAAGACCACTGGCTCTTTTAACGAGAGTCTTTAAATCTTTATTACAACCGATTTGTTAAAGAAAAACACTGATTCATTCATAAATAAAACAACTGACTCTTTTGAAGTGAGCCTGTGAATCTTTAAAGCAACAGATTTGTTCCAAAAACACTGATTCATTCATAAATAAAACAACTGACTCTTTTAAAGTGAGTCCTTGATTCTTTAAAGCAACCGATTTGTTCCAAAAAATACTGATTTATTCATGAAGAAAACAACTGACTCTTTTAAAGTGAGTCCTTAATTCTTTAAAGCAACCGATTTGTTCCAAAAAATACTGATTTATTCAGGAACAAAACAACTGACTCTTTTAAAGTGAGTCCTTGAATCTTTAAAGCAACCGATTTGTTCCAAAAACACTGAATAATTTCATGAAGAAAATAACTGACTCTTTTAAAGTGAGTCCTTGAATCTTTATAGCAACCGATTTGTTCCAAAAAGCACTGATTCATTCAGGAACAAAACAACTGACTCTTTTAAAGTGAGTCCTTGAATCTTTAAAGCAACCAATTTGTTCCAAAAAGCACTGATTTATTCAAGAACAAAACAACTGACTCTTTTAAAGTGAGTCCTTGAATCTTTAAAGCAACCGATTTGTTCCAAAAAGCACTGATTCGTTCATGAAGAAAACAACTGACTCTTTTATAGTGAGTCCTTGAATCTTTAAAGCAACCTATTTGTTCCAAAAAGCACTGATTCATTCAGGAACAAAACAACTGACTCTTTTAAAGTGAGTCCTTGAATCTTTAAGTCAACTGATTTGTTCCACTGATTCATTCAAGGATGAAACTGTTTGGTTCTCGAGTCTTTGAATCATTGACGTGGAAGTTTACAGAATGCTTTTCCTTTCCCGCAGGAATACGATGATGGATACGGAACAGCCTACGATGACCAGGGCTACGACTCGTATGACAACAACTACAACAATCAGGCACAGAAGTGAGTGTGTGTGTTTACTGGTTTTGGTGATTTATCATAATCATACTTATATGGTCTTTTGACATTCAAAATTTGCCTTTTTTTCTGTGAGGGTTTGGTTAGCAGTTTTACTTTATAAAATACATTGTGCCTAAGGAGAGTCCATGGAAAGCACCATATGTGTGTGTGCGTGAGCATGAGTATGTGTAAGTGCATGTGTGTGCGTGTATGTGTTGTCCAGTCCGCTGTCAGTGTAAAGGGCATCAGTCTTTGTGTGCGGATGTGAGGTTATATCAGACCCAGAGAGTTTATTTACAATGTAGGTCAGTGCTCACCTCTCTGTATCGAGCTGCAGAGATTGTGTAGGTCCACACAGGGCTGGACTGAAGCTTCACTGCATTGGAAATCATTCAGGCTAATGTAGGAAGCAGCTTTGAGAGTCTGAAAGAGAGAAGTGGACTGTCACGCTAATGAATCACTCCTTTATCCCACCTCAGTCTCTGCAAGAGCACAGGCAGTTTTGTAAGGCAGGGTCAGTTGTCATGATCTACCAATAGCTACTTGGGATTCAAAGTAGTGCTGGACAATATTGCAAAAAAAAAATATTATCACGATATAATGTTTAATATAATACGGTATCGATAAATATTAAATATTTGTAACAATAAATTAAAAAATATTAGGGTTTTTAATCACTTTATTTTAAATTACCAACAATACCAAGGCAAATACTTTTAATAGTCAAAAACTAAAATATTTTAACAAAATATCGGATCTCTTTATAATAAATTCAATATAAGTGTTAAAGAGACTCTTAAACTCTTAAGTGTGTGCAATGGTGAAGCGTAAATACTGAACAATCAAAGCAAAGTTAAAGGTGTGAATAATAATGATACAGTACACCTCAAACTCTGTACACAAAAGAAATATTATAATCAGATCTGAGCTTTTAGATAAAGAAACTAACCATCATTATTCAAATACATATTGCAACATTACAAACTGTTCAATGACTACATGACCACTAAAATAAAAAAAATCTTTTAGATGGGGAGCTAGTGGCAGGGACGCACAAGAAAAGAAACCAAAAAGCCACTCTGGCGATAGCCTTTCATCCTTTTTAATTTACAATCTCCTCACAGCTGCTATACGGCACTCATTTTCGCGTGTGTGTTGTAATTCTGGCCTGAAGTGACAAGCGCCATCTTTTTGGCATTTCAGTCGTAAAAAATTTATAATTTTGACTAATACGATGTATTTTTGGGGGGCTATTACCACAAATATAGCAGCAGCCTAACATATTGTAAGGCTGGTTTTGATACATTTATGGTTGAAGATTTTACAAAATACAAAGAGTGGAAGATAATCTTTACTTCATATTCAAGTGATTTTGGCATAAAAAAAACTATCCTTTTGACTAATATAATGTATTTTTTGGCTTTTACCACAAATATACAGTGGAACGTACTGTAAGGCTGGTTTTGATATATTCATGGTCAAAGATTTGACAAAAATTGAAGGAGTTTTCTGACAGAACATGATCTTAACTTTGAATTCAAATGATTTTTGGCATTAAAAAATCAGTAATGTTGACTAATGCAGTGTATTTTTTGGCTGTATTCACAAATATACAAGCAAAACATACTGTAAGGCGGGTCTTGATAAATTTATGTTTGTTAATTTTACAAAATACAAAAAGTTTCTGATGGAACATTATCTTCATTTCATATTTAGGTGATTTTGACATTAAAGAATTGATAGTTTTGACTAATACAAAACATACCAGAACACAAACATACCAGAAAAGCATACTGTAAGGCTGATTTTGATATATTTATGGTTCGAGATTTTACAAAATACAAAGAGTTTTCTGATGGAAGATGATCTTTACTTCATATTCAAGTGATTTTGGCTTTAAAATTTTTTTTTTTAATTTTGACTAATGCAATGTATTTTTGGCCTTTTACCACAAATATACCAGTAGAACATACTGTAAGGCTGATTTTAATTTACATGTATGGTTGAAGATTTGACAAAATACAAAGAGTTTTCTGACAAAACAGGATCTTTACTTAAAATCCAAATGATTTTTGGCATTAAAAGAATTAGTTATGTTGAATAATACAATGCATTTTATGGCTATTTCCACAAATATACAAGCTAAACATACTCTACGGCTGAGTTTGATACATTTATATCTGGAACTTGTATAGTTTTGGAATAGTTTTCTTGTAAAACATGATCTTTACTTAATATCCAAGTGATTTTGGCATTTAAAAAAATCTAAAATGTTGACTAACACAATGTATGTTTTGGCTATTATCAAAAATATGCCAGCAAAACACACTGTTAGGCTGCTTGTGTGATCCGGGGAAATGTATTTTCCGCTTTCTATTAGATCAAGAAGTGATCGGACTTAATTGAGCAAATGTTTTTGGTGTTTAATTTCAATAGTTTTTAATGTGATATCCTAAAAATAATGAATATGAATACAAATAAATGAATGGAAACACACCTAGGGGAAGATTTTATAAACAAATCAGGTCGTTTTAGATTCAGTTGACACGTTCTTGCCTTTTAAAATAGCTTATCAGTGGATTTAAAGATTATATTAGAAATATAGGACTGAATTCTTATAAAACCTTATTCAGTTTGAATCATTCCATCAAGCCAATAATAAAAGTGCTAATTCATACATGTGAATGATGCACAACAGAATCTAAAACCTATCGATATATAGACAATATGATTTTAAGTTTCCAGGTTCTCTTAAGCTTTTATACAAATGATTATCACTGCATTCCTTCCATTGAACACATGACCTTAGCATTGTTAGCGTCGTCCTCTATTTGAGCTATAGAGGAACATTGACATTTTATAGACTGTTCCCAGTTTCAAAAGCAGAACTGAGAGTCCTCATCTCCTTCCAATTGCTTTCATTTAAATTCAAAAAGTTGGCTTTTCTACAATTGATGGCAATTATAAAACCATCTTCTACCCTGAATGAATGTCAAGCAAGAGCGCATAATGCATGATGTACATTATTATAGATCATTACGTACACCTGTAGGTTGTGTAAAAAAATCAGACCCTTCATACAGTTGAAGTCAAATGGATGACTTCTGTAAAATTGTGTTCTTTTAAGAAATAGTGTTGTTTAATGGAGAGTTTTTTTGCTAAATATATATTTTTAAACATGATAGTTTTTATACCTAATTTACAGTTAGTCATTTAGAAGATGATTTTGTCCAAAGCGACTTACAATTGAGGTATTCAGCGATTCAAAAAGAAGAGGCAATACACACCAGAAGTGGTAATTATACAGAGGAACTGTTAGTGCTTACAGTTTTTATTTTATTTTATCAACCCAGGCTATTATTTATTCATTCTTTTATTTAATTGTGTATTTATTTATTTATTTATTTATTTATTTATTTATTTATTTATTTTTATTTTTATTTTTATTTTTATTTTTTATATATACACTACCTGGCAAAAGTCGAACAACAAATAATAACTTGACTTCTAGTTGATCATTTGGTATCAAAAGTGGCTTATATGAAAGGCAAAGGCCTCTAGATTACTCTTATTTGACCAAAATAAAAAATGATCATGCCTTGATTTTTAATTATTTAATTAGGACAGTAAGGTCTGACTTTGCTTAGACAAAAGTCTCGTCACTTAACAGAAATAATGTCCAGTATAGAATAAAAAGTCATGTTGCAGTGGAAAAAGAGTTAATATTGTGTATGACTCCCATGAGCTTGGAGGACTGCATCCATACATCTCTGCAATGACTCAAATCCCTTATTAATAAATTCATCTGGAATGGCAAAACTCTACAGATTTCTGTGAGAATCTTGGGTCCATGCAGGTTCCAATAGGGTTAAGCAAAATAATCTTATGTCAAAAGGAAAAACAAGATTAATTTGCCTACCCCGTTGGCAGGTTATTTTGCTTGTTTTAAGGATAAACTCACTTAATTTTGGCATATTATTTCTTTTAAAAAGAATTTCTTTGCTTGTCTAGAAAATGCTTACTTAATTTAAGAATTTTTCGATATTTTTATTACAAATAAGGCCAAAAATCTAAGTAGGAAAAACATTTTTTTTCCCAGAGATGGGTTGCAGCTGGAAGGGCATCCGCTTTGTAAAAAAAAACAACAAAAACATATGCTGGATAAGTTGGCGGTTCATTCCGCTGTAGCAACCCCAGATTAATAAAGGGACTAAGCAGACAAGAAAATGAATGAATGAATGAATGAATGAAAAACATTGTTGCAGTGCAGACAAGTTAGGACTATTAGGAAAATTACTGAAAAACAGTATATTTTTCTATAGCCATTTTTTTTTATTATTACAGTAGCTAAGTGTGATTTCTAAACTAATTTCGAGAGGATCACATACTTATGATTGATCACAGCTGGTCCTGTGATCTCTTGAATAATATTGACCTCAAAATTGTTTAATCTAACCAAACAAAGAAAACAGCTCTTTCTCCAGAAGAACAAAATATTATAGAAAATACTGTGAAAATCTCTTAAAAATCCCTAAAATTGACAACTATTTCGGCATATATTTTACGCAGAGCATGCCCTTCCAGCCGCAACCCAGTATTGGGAAACACCCATACACACTCATACACTACGACCAGTGTAGTTTATCCAATTCACCTATAGTGCATGTGTTTGGACTGTGGGGAAAACCGGAGCACCCGGAGGAAACCCATGCCAACACGGGGAGAACATGCAAACTCTACACTGAAATGCCAACTGGCCCAGCCGGGACTCGAACCAGTGATCTTCTTGCTGTGAGGCAACAGTGCTAAAAACTGAGCCATCACGCTGACATACTTTGAAAATATTTGAAAAAGAAATGAAATTTCACATGAGAGCTAATGATTTTGACGTCAAATGCATATTCGTTGAGCTTAATCCTAAACGATATGTTCCAAATGCTGATCTGAGACCAGGCCTGGTGTGTGTTTGATATAGTTGGTGCAAGGTAAATCACCTCAAGATC